AGGCGGGGCGGCGCTGCCGCGGGCGCCTCTTCCAGACGGCCTTCCCCGCGCCGCACGGGCCCAGCCCGGCCTCGCGCTACGTGCAGAAGCTGCCGATGATCGGCCGCACCGGCCGCCCGGCCCGCCGCTGGGCGCTGGCCGACTACTCGCTCTACCTACCACTCTAAGGCGGCCGCGGGCCCTCGCCGGAAGTGACGCCATCGCGCCGGAAGGGGTGGGCTGTGGACGGCAGGTTCCCGCGGCGGCGCTTCCGGGCGGCGGGTGGGCCATGGCGCTGTCCTGGCTCCAGCGCCTGGAGCTCGTGCTCTTCACCACCGCCTTCTTGTGCGGGGCCGTGGCGGCCGCGGCGCTGACCCGGACGCAGGTGCGGCTGCGGGAGGTCGGGACGGGCAGGCGTGGGGGGGCCGCCGCCGCCTGACCGCCGGCCCGGGTCGACGCGCCCCTTGCGGACTAGTGGGCCCGGCCGTTCCGGCGGGGACTGTGGTGCTGAGCGAGCTCGGCCCCTCCGCCCGGCCCGGTGGCCGTCAGAGGACGAGGCCTCGGGCGGCCCCGCGCTCGCTGCTGGGCCCCTGGTTCGTCCTCTCCCTGGTTCTGGACCAGAAGTCGGTCCGGCCCCTGCAAACCGGAAACCATTCAGTGCTGAGCGGTGGCGAGAAAGCAGCGCAGCGTAGTGGGAATCAACACGGTGTCACGTGCTTGCGGGTGTTAAGTGATAAACCAACCATCTGTAAAGCGTTTCAAACGCGACGAGCGCCAGTGGTTTCCCATCAGGCAGTCTTGTTAATAAACCTGTTGTTACGCACGCGGTCATGTCATCTTTATGAAGTAGGCACCGCTGAGGCTGTTTACAGATTAGGAAACCCGAGGGTGGGTTCTTTTTAATGATTTGTGTGTGTGCGTGTACCGTCAAATCAGATCTGCTTGGTACAGGAGATTGTCCCTCCTCCAGCAGAGCATCTGGTGGATTCGAACCGTGCAGCTCGGGGATTGCAGTACAGCTTCCTGCCACTAGGCCCCCAGAGCTCCCTTAAACCCGGGTTTCTTGTGCATGGCTGCCGGTGTGGGCTTACTGGGCGGGCGTCGGGCGACCTGCACGGGTTCAAGCTCCTCTCCATGGCCGCTGCCCAGTAGGCCATGTGTGCCCGGGTGTCCAGATCAGAGGGTGCAGTTTGAAGGTGCAGGAGCCTGGCCCCAGACGCACTGACCGTGAACGCTCGGCCTCAGCGGCTTTTCCCCACAGGGCTCCTTCAGTGGCAGCTGCCCCCTGTATGGTGTGGCCGCCCAGAATGGCTCCTCGCTGGCTTTGTCCAGTCCTTCAGCCTCTTCCCTCTGCTACTTTGTGGCTGGGGTCTCGGGTCTCCTGGCCCTCTACTGCCTGCTGCTTCTGCTCTTCTGGATCTATAGCAGCTGCATCGAGGACTCTAACAGGTGACTACCCTCTCCTGCCTATCAAAGGGTAAGTTGGAAAGAGGTCCGTCTCAACAACAAGCTCCTTTCTCTCTTCACGTCAGAGGTCCAGTAGGGCTCCGCATCGCACTGGTGGTCTCGGTTATAGCCGTCTTCCTGATCCTGGTTACTGCCTGTATTCTTCGATTTGGCACCAGTTCTCTCTGTAGCTCCATTATCAGCTTGAAGATTGCAACTAGGTAATGGGAGAGGGAGGCAGGTCGACCTGGCAGAAAGTGGAGTGGGGTGCTAGAACCTTCTTAACCCTCCTGACTTACCCTCATTACTAAGGTCTCTGGGACAGGTGTACTCGGAACTTTACCCTCATACACACCTTTCTAATCCACTCTCTGACCTCATAGCTGCCCTGAAGCCCAGAAGATTCCATGGACACCCCCTGGAACTGCTGTGCACTTTTACAACAACCTACATAATGCTGAAGTGAGGCTCTGGGATATGAAAGCCCCCGGGAGACGGCGGGATACTCGGGGAAACTTCAAAGTGTAGCTAAGGGTGCAGAGGCTGCCAGCCCGTTAGAGCAGAGCAGTGTTTGTAAGGTGGGAGGAGCTGGATTTTAGAAGCTCATGTGTGCCTGCTCTTATCTCCTACAGACTTCTTCCTGGGTGAATCTGGTACTGTGGGCTCTGATCCTGGTACTCCAGGTTGTACAATGGAAGTCGAAAGCTGCCCCGTTCCGGCCTCTGGAGAAGGGCGACCCTGAGTGGAGCTCTGAGACAGATGCACTCTTCACACCTCGCTCTCCTCTTTCCTGAAGAGTGGCATTTCCTGCCACCCAAGACTCTGCTCAAGTGCCTGCAACCCTATCCCCTTGCAGCCCTGTAGGTGCTGGGTGCCTGTTTTCCCTTGAAGAGGGGGAAAGGACTCTGTTTTGTGGCAGTTTTTGTAACAAAATTATGATAACGATTTTTCCTTCATAGTGGTGATGAATTCTTGGTGTTAAAGGACTACAGACAGGTGGGTGGAAGGAGTGAATGAAGGCTTAGCTGACATGGATGGAAAATAAGAGGTCTGTCAGTCCAGAACATTTTTATTTTCCACTTCTGTCCATTTTGTGACCTGGTGTCACCCTTCCTTTTGGTTCAGTCTGTCTCCTGTGATGGGTGGTGAGTGACTCAGGTGGACCATTTATAAGCTCCGGTAAGCACCCACGGTATTGTCAAAGAGTTTCATGTTGGGGAAGTGTCCTGCTTTGTCCAAGAGAAAGTAGAAGCGCCGGCCCTTGACTTTCAGAGGCAACATGGCAGGGACTTGACCGCGGTGAGCCATGCAGGAGACTTGGTTCAGGGGGACAGTGAAATGGGCTCCCAGGCCAAAGGGGGCGTGAGTGGTGAGGGTCACCTGCCGCCCTCCGGCCCGAAGCATCACTGAACGCACAGAGCGGACGGAGAAGAGCAGGCCGCCACCAAGTACCAGGGTCCCTGCAGGAAGGGGGAAGGGTGAAGATTCGGGGGTTGACCGGTGGGGGGGCACCACCCCTTAATGCCACCCGGACCCAGCAAGGAAGTGACTGCAGGGAGAGGGCCGCCAGACCTCTGGTCACTCCGACGACCCTGTTGACACCCAAGGGGTGCGGGCGTCCCCCCAGCCCCGTGCCTCCCCTCCTGCGGTCCAGCGTGGACGTGCCGGCTCCCCCGCTGCTCACCGATGATGCCGCAGCCGATGGCCAGTCCGTAGCGCCAGAGGGTCAAGCGCAGGTCGGCGCGGCCGCGCTCCGGAGCCTGTGGGGCCGGGGGTCGGCCGAGGGAGACCACGGCCAGCGAGCTCCAGAAGACGCCCTGGGCCGCGCAGAAGAGCCCGAGGACGGTGAAGAAGCGGCCCCGCTCGTGCTCGAAGAGCAGCACGTCCCGGGCCGGGGCCGCGTCGTACAGCGCCCGGCGCGCGAGAGGATACAGCAGCCGGAGCCCGCGAGGCCCGCCCGCCGCCATGCTCCTACGGAGTCACTTCCCGTCGACTGTCCCGCCCCTTCCGGCGCACAGCACTACCGCTTCCGGGGCGGCGGGCGCGCGCCTGCGCGCTGAGCCTCCCGTGCAGGTGCGGCCGGAGCGGCCAGGCGCGAGCGGGTGGGGCGGCGAGAAACGAAGACAGTGCGCAGCACACAAGTACAATTGTCACTCTTTATCTTAAAAAGGAGGAGATTCTGGGGTTAGGACACAAAGCACCTACGTCCTTCGTTAGTTTAGTGTCAGTTCTAGAGCTTTGGCTTCCTGGCACCAGAGGCTCAATCTCCCAGAAGGTTCCCGGAAGGAGGAGGGGGCTCTGCAGCTGTCCCTCTTCATCACAGTCACAAGGTGGCCACAGGCCGGTGGGAGTCGGCGGCGAAGATGACAGGACGATATCCACGCGGTATTTACAGGGGACTGGGGGCCGGTCACTTCATGAACGCTACTTCTGGGATTTTGCCCTCCGCCTGGGGGGGACATGAAAGTCAGTGGGCGGGCGGCCTCCCCCTCCGCTCACCGCCAGAAGGGCCCCGTCCTGCCCCCTGTGCCACTTTACCTTGAGCTGTGTGAAGACCTGTGCAGATCGGGTGTAGTCCCAGTCGTTGTCCTGAAGGCACCTGGGGCAGGGGGTGGGCAAAGAACAACAGAACAGGTCAGCCCAGAACAACAGCCACACCGTGTCCATGCCTAACACGCTGTCGCACCATTTATAAGAACCCATAAAAATCAAAACATCTACCCAATGGCTCATCAAATACAAAAGTATGTGACAGCTATCACGAAAATGTAGTTTTCACATTTCTACAGGAAAAATGTTAATAGTTCAAAAGTTAGGAAAAAAACCCCAGTTATAGGACACTATGTAAAATAACAAAACCACCACCCTTTGTCATCAAGTTAGACCGAACCAACAGTTGACCCTCTAGCGGGTTTTCAGAGTGCAATTCCAAGAGAAGACTGACCATCCAGCTGGTGGGTGCCTGCCTTTGGGGTGTTCCTCTAATTTATGCACACACAAATCTTTACGGGGTGCTCTGTGGACGGTGTGCGCTCTTTATGGCTTTCCGTATTTCTGTAGCTCTCATCAGTCACCTCCCTGTACAGGGGCCCAGACACTCACTTCTGGGACCACTCGAGGTTCATGCCGGACTGGGTGGAGAAAGCCTGCAGCATCTCCTGGTGCTCCGGGGACAGCGTGGGCACGGGGCTGGAGGACGGCGTGGGAGCAGGCATGGCGAACGCTCTCTGGATCTCGTCAGGACTGGCATTCCGTACAAACAACTCGTCGTTTACGATGCACAACCTAGGGTACAGGAGGCACCTGAGTGAGCAGAGTGGTCGCTCCATCCCCGTTCCCTGACACACACGGTCTGCAGCCCCCTAGCTGTCACTTATCACTTACGCCCTCCTACATACAGCCTGTGGTGACCCAGCTTGGAGACCTTATGGAGCCATGCTATGAGCTAGGATATGACAAACTTGGATTATATTCCACAACCCAGGCCCAGGGACAGTGGTTAGCCTTCATTTTTCACAATAACCTTTGATAGTCAACACTACTACACTGATATTCTGATCAGAAAATACTATGGCCATCGCTCTTAAGCCCATGTTACCCTTCCCTTCAGATTCACTGATTACCACTTTCCCTTCAGAAATTCTGAAATTCTCTCCACAGATTAAATTCCCACAGGGTAGGAACAACATACCCTGAATTGCTTGCAGGAACAGCAATGAATGTCCGGGTGAAGGCTCGCATGGAATCTCGAGACTTCCCATCCACTGTAACAGAACACAGGCAGAGACCCCCGTAGAGTCGTCATTCATGGTTCATGCTACAAACAGCTCCCTGAGTCATGGTCTTTTGGATACAAAGGAGCAAAGGGGGCCAGACAGGGAGAGTTAGGTACTGGGGAGCAGAGGTGAGATGTCAGAGGCCAGGGAGGACAGTAACGTGGTCAACCAGCCCAGTGCTGTCGATGGCTTTACAAGGCTTGCCATTTACTCTCCTGGTCCCCCTCTGCCGTGGCTCTTACTAAGCTGCTGTACAATAGAGATTCTGAGGGCAGAGACAATGTAACTTGCCAACAACAGACGGAGAACCAAGGCTGATCTGGAAACTTATACTAGATTGATACCCAAGACCCACTTGTCCTTCTAATCTCCATGTTTTGGTCATGTCCCAGACAAGACAGACAGTAAATGAGGAAAGACATTATCAATCCAAGACAGATGAGAGGCAGAATGGTAGGCAGGCAGGGATGAACAGGCAGCTAAGTGAGACAGAGTGCTGAGAGAGGTCGAACTGGGAGGAGGCCCAATGCACACCAGAAAAGGACGCAGTCTCACCTTCTTTAAAGACTCCGCTGACGGAAAAACACAGCAATGTGCTCTGAAAGAAGCAGCAACAATTACAACACAGGCCTCCCAGGCAGAGTCCCAGCCCCCGCTTTGGGCTCTGCCAGGGAAGAATAAGGTGCTTACAGTCTGGGCGCTTATGTCTACCACGAAGGAGTTGATGTCATGTTGCGTTTTGGGCAATTCATTGAGGAAAGCAACGACGTTGAGACGCGTGTGTTTCAGCAGTCGGAACCGCAGGCCTGAGGGCAAAGAGACACGAGCAGGGGGCTGAGCGCTGTGGCCAGTCCCCATGGTTCTCTCACCAAGGCTACTTCACAGCACACACTTACTAGGGTCTTTAAGCTTCTTCACGTTCCTGCTGTCTTTGAAGTACTCTGCCAAGTTGCTTCTGGGGGATAAAAAGAAAAGGAAGCAGGGGTTACTAGCAGGTGCTGGTCGGCACTGGGTCCGGCGCCGGCTCTAAGATGGGAGCTCACTTACCGGTTAGGATTTTGGGGGGTGATGGGAATGCTCAGGGAACAGCAAGCCCCGTCATGGTAGGCCTCCAAGAGGCCCTGCCGATCTCCAGAGTCGTAAATGGCATAGTATCTGTGGGGAGGACGAAAGGGAAGCCTGACGCGTACAGTGTGGAGCCACACAGCCTGTTGCTCTGATGCAGAGGCCATACAGGATAGGGAGAAAGGCCCCACAGGGATCCTAACAGTGGAAAGCACAGTGAAGTTCTTTGTAAACCATGGAGCAGTTGCTGCACTTGAACTGAAGCAACCAAATACCTGTGAATCATCAAGGCTTCACTGGAGGCAGAAAAGCTCCCAAAAAGGTGCTCAAGTCATCCCAGCCCCCCCACCCCACCCGCCTGAAAGTCCAGGTTACTTACTGGTGCAGGAAGTGCAAGACCAGACTCTTCAGGGTCTCAGTTCCGAAGTAGCTTCCCTGGGATAAAACAGGTGTGAGAAGGAGGTAACCAACTCCCAACCTGTACCCACCGAGCAGAACCCCACCTGTTTCTCACCTTGCAGGGCGGTAGCATTGTGGGGGCTTCGACATCAAAGGCAATTGGTGGAGGTAACTCATGGCCGTCCTGGGAAAGGAAGTGAAAACAGACAACATAAACCAGAGAAAGCAGCTGCAGCAGCAAGCAGACGAAGAGCGGGCAGTGGGCGACCCAGAGGCTGTGTGAGAGCCAGGAAATCAACCCACAAGCAAGACCAGTCAGGCTTTGAAACCAGGCTCCAGGGTTACTCTTGGTGCAGCTTTTGCTTACAGGCAAATGCTGGGAGGAATTTGTTCTGGGAAGGATTACTGCCCTGTCACTGTTTCAAAGGGCCATGTCTCCACATTAATGGTCACACAAAAAGCATATTAGCTAATATGGAAGATGCTATGTTCATCGGAGAAGAATGTGAAAAGTCATGGGCTTACCAGGCGTAGTAACTTGGGGAATCGTTCGCGAACGGCGCTGTCAAGAACGGACAGAAGTGAGTGATGCTTCCGAGCCACCGTGCCTCCTGGACTGCTCTAGGAGCCAATACACCAACACCCGAGGGACAGCCCGTCCGTCGTGCGCCCCGCCCCACCCCAGGCCTCCCTAGGACGGGCTCAGGGAAAATGTCCCTGAGCTCCCACCCCAAGCTGCCTGGGGCACCCCAAAACAGACTGCCATGAAGGCTGACCCTCTCTCTCTGCCTGACCCTGAGTGCCACAGGAGCAACAGCCCCAGCCCGGGCTTTAAGCCTCGGCCTGCCTTCCCCTCCCTGCACCCCTTACCTTCCACCTACTCACCTGTGCAGCCCCGGGAGGAGGGAATGGGGTGGGAGCCCAGGGGCTCCGCTGCCTCACCAGGTGTCCATCAGTTCTGCTAGGTCTGGCCTTGGCCAAAACCAGGACACACCACAGGGATGGCGCAAGATACCGGGGCAGGGAGATAAGCAAGGCAGGGCTCAGGGGGGCAAAGGCAGAGAAAGAAGTGAAAAGAGGAAAGCATAAAAGTGGAGCCAGACAGAGCAGGGGGAAAGGAGTGATGTCAAGATTCGGGGAAAGAGAGAAACAAAAGGCAAAGAGCTGCCAAGCAAACAGCAGTCAGAAAGAGAAGGAGGCCGAAGGCTCCTGCCACAGCCCTTTCCGTCAGCTGCCCTCTCCATGTGGACCAAGGGAGACACAGAAAGCCGAGTCTGGCTGTGCTGCAGGGGCAGCTGCTGTGGGCCAAGTCTCTGTCTCCCGTTCCCTGGGTCCCTCTAAGCTGGGCATGGAAGTGATGGAGCCACGGGGGCAGGAGACCTCCCTCAGAAGGAGTGAAGGTTCAGGCCGCTGCCAAGTTGGGGGGGTGGGGATCTGTGCCCCACCTCTGTTGGCCCCCAGATTCTCTCCTGATGGCCCCTCTGCGACTGTGCCTGTCTTAGGTTGTTCCTTCCCTGAGGAATCTTACCCGTCTCTGGCTAACCAGCCATCCTCCGGGGCCAATCAGGGTGACGTGAGGTGTGATGTGAGGGGGAGCAGTGCCCCCACGAGCGTCAGTTCTGTCTCCTTGGAAGCTACACCCCGTGGCATCCACACCCAGCAGCTGTGTGGGGATCCCCATGCCTACAGGCAGGGTCCCAGTTGTGGCCGCAGGCCTTAGAGAACCCAGGTTTCTTCTCCAGGGAGACCCAGATTGTAACACTGGGCAAGAGACAGAGTGCTGGACACTGGCCTCTGGAAGGCCTCAATCAGCATGGCCAGAAAAGCCCAGGCAACAGTTTGGGTACACTGATGAGAGAAGGGGGCCCCTCTTGACATAAGAGCAAGAGGGGCCATCGCAGGACGAAGGAGGGAAGGCCCATCTCAACAGGAAGGCCTGGGCAGGGAGGGCTTTCTCAGCCCAGGGATAGCAGCCTCCTGGCATAGGGCAAGTCTATGTATGGGGCACGTACGAAACATACCCCGGTCAAGGGAGAAAATGGGGATGTCATCATCTTGGAACAATAGTTTGGGAGACTCTAGAAAAGGCTGTGTACAAGGAGAAAGGAGAAATGCAGTGAGTGCAGGCAAACAGGCAGACAGGCGAGAAAGAAGAGAAGGAGACAGAGGCAAAGCTGAAGACACAGATAGGGAGGGGCATGTGGCCTTCCCAAAGGACATGGGGCTCCAGCTCAGGGCTGCACAGCTCCTGCAGATGGGCACTGGTCAGGGGGCACTGGTGAGCTCAGCCTCCCGGGGGGTGAAGGTCCCCAGGAGGGGAGACAGAGGCTACAACTGACCTGATGTAGGTGGACTGGTCCCGGAAGGAGTCACACAGCGGGTTTCCATCGAGCCAGAGCTCTTCTAGCTTCAGCCCCTTGATCTTATCCAGCTCTCGTTCAGACTTCAACTGCACAAAGAGGGAAGACTCTGCTGAAGACACACAGTGGGTTCTCCCCCCGCGGCCCCACGCACCTCTCGGACTTTCCTCCCGTACCTCTCCCCATCACTGGGTAAGCCCTCCTACCCTTCCTCATCTCATTTCAAACCCAACCCGGCTCTCGATGCTCACCTCATTTCCTGAGAGGTTAAGGACCTTGAGGTTCGGTGCCTTCTGCACTATATTAGATAGATCGTCTAATCGGAATAACCTATTATTGCTCAAGTTCAAAGATAATAGCTGTGAGGAAAGAAGGGTTTGGAGAAAGTGTCACTAGTAAGGGACTCACAGATAAATCTGTCCCCAAGCAGCCACCCAGCTTCCTCAAGCCAGACTGCGAGGCAAAGGCCTCACCTCAGGGATGTTCTCTTCAATGATTCGCAGGGAGGCGGCCATGCAGCTTCTGCGGCTCAGGACAACATCGATGTTCTGTGCCACCAAATCTTTAGGAAGCAGAGAGGAAGGAAACAGGCTCTGAAAAGGCTGGTCGAGGGCCTCGTCGGCACCAGGCCCTTCCCACCCATTCCCTCCCGGGACTCTACCCCGGCCTCCATCTATCCGAGAACCACTGCCGTCATGCCCACCTGGGTCAGTACGCAGGCCCTTGAGGTCGAGTGCTTTCTGGGAGTCGTCATATCTTTTGCTCATGGTCAGCTACAGTGGAAAGAAAAGAGTTCGGTGGTCGCGGGGCCCGTGTGTGGGCAGGGTGTAGGAGGAAGTGAGGGGTCGGTGGAAACTTGCGGCGTAAGCCTGCCTCACCTTTAGCTGCTCTACCTGCTCTGGTTTCAGCTCATTCTGCACGGTCTGGGGTGGAGCAGAAGGGTTGATGATGATTGATATCTTTGGGGAAGAAAGAAAAGGCACCATGAACTTGGGGGAGGGAAGCATAAGCTCCAGTCAGTCCCTGCCTCCTGGACCGCTTTCCACACCCAGTTGAGCCAGAACTTGGCACACACCTTTCGGTTCTCCCGATCAACAATCTTGTAGTTGACGGCCTTCAGAGCAGAAGCGGTGCTGGTGTCCTCCACGAAAAACTGGGCCCGCATGTTCTCATAGTGAAACTGCGAGGGGAGGGGAGACAAGCCTCAGCCGTGGAGCCTAGAGCCCCTTGTCCAGCCGACCCGCCACTCCCCACACGGCCCTGAGCCCCTCGTCCAGCCTGCCCACTGCTCCCCATGCAGCCCAGCCAAGCTGCCTCTGAGGACTTGTCCTACCTCAACTGGCGTGAAGGGGACGCTGCATTTGCTCTGAATCAAGCTCAGCAGCCATGCTTTGTCATACTTTCTGCCATATGGAATCTAGAAAGAAAAAAACCCCAACATGTAAGGAAGGAGAACAGACCTAGTCTAGTGGTATTTTTAGACCTGCCATGAAGCTTTAAAAACTGTCTAAAGGAAGGGTTTGACATAAGGGGGTCACTACTTAACCCAGGCATGGAGGGCTCTGTCTCGTTGTTAGGGGCCATCAAGTACAACTCATAGCGACCCTATGAACAGCAGTTCTGCACTGAACCCTGAACCCTGTCTTACCCTGTGCCATCCTCTCATCTCTTGACACACTTGAGTCCACTGCTACAGTAACTATGTCAATCTAACTCATTGAGAGTCTTTCTTTCACAGATCCATCACCTTTTCAAGCATGAGGTCCCTTTCCAAGGAATCTCCTAGTAACATGCCCAAAGTATGTGAGATGAAGCTTTATCATCTTTGCCTCCAAGGAGCACTCTGGCTGCATCTTCTCCAAGTTTTTGTTTGTTCCTTTGGCAGTTCATAGGATCTTTGGCACTCTTTTCCAACACCATAACTCAAAGTCATCAATTCTTCTTTTGTCATCCTTTTCATTGTCCAGCTCTCAGATGCACAGCAAATGTCTGAAAAGACCATGGACCTTAGTACTCAAAGTGACATCATTGCTCCTTAGAAATTTGGAAAGGTCCCTGACAACAGACGTTCCCAGTGCAATGCGTCTCCTGATTGCTAGTACCAAGGGTGTTAATTATGGATCCAAATAAGACGAAGTCATTGACAATCTCAATCTTTCCTTCATTTATTATGATGTTGCTTACATGTCCAGTAGTAAAAAGTTTTGTTTTCTTGATGTTGAGATGCAATTTATATTGAAAGTTGTATTCTTTGATCTTCTGCTGCGAGTGTATCAAGTTCTCTTCACTTTCAGTAAGCAAGGATCTGGTCTCGTAGTCTGCTGAAAATTGGTGGTTCAAACTCAAGGGCTCCACAGGAGAAAGATGGGCAACATCCTTTCAAATGCCATTCAAGTTAGTCCTGGTTACAACTAAATGGCAATCAATTTTTAAGCCATGCATGAACCCCTTCACCTCTTACTCCATGTCTACTCAGTATTCCTCAAAGGAATACAATTCTTTGGTTCTAAAAGCTCCAAGATATCATTTATCCCTTGCTTTCCCAAGAACTCCAGAGATTCCAACCTTAAATTGTGCTGGAGGCAAATGAAGACACCCAGAAGTTTCTCCAGCTCCCAACCGGAGCTGGCATATTTCCCTTGAGATGGTCTCACCATCCTCCCGGTATCCTCGACTCCCCTTCTCTAGACCTGCTCTTCAGGACTGTAAGAAACCTCAAGTCTCAGGAAAGGACAGATACCTGGCCATAAACAGCCACAAAGACCTATGGTGCTATGGACTGAGCAGTGAACACCTGCACTCTCAGCTCACTCCCTGCTCCCCTTCCTCTTTTCCAAGATACTCACTGTAATCTTGAACCAGTTCTTGGAGGTCCCATCCTGGCTGGTGCCAGCTCCCCCCCTCTCTGGAGGTGCTCTGTCTCTCCGCATGGTAACGTGGATGCGGTCTCGATCATGCCAATTATCACCACGGCGGTTGGGTCGGGAGGTATAAGGGTTGCTGAGAAGTAGGAGAGAGGAAAAAAGTCCCTAAGAGCTAGATAACACTTCACAAAGGCCTCCACCCACTGCTATCAAGGTTACAGCTGAGAAAGTCCAACCTGCTACAGCTGAGCCACTAAGCTCACGCCAGCAATTTTCAGCCTCGGAGCAGGAAAGAGAAGCTGAGAGGAGTGGAGCACACTAGCCAGTGGGTCCCTGCGCACAGAGCAGACTGACCGGTCACTTACTATCGTATTCGGGGACCATCCTGGGCATCAACCATTGCCACATCTCCATCCTCCTCCTCCTGGCGGTTAGACCGAATACCAGAGCCTCCTCTTCCAGAGCGACGGTTCCCAGGCCATCGGAAAGGACCCCGGCCTTTCCTTCTTCGAGGGACACTGACTCGGTCATCATGCTCTGAAATTGGAAACCAGAACACTGATGAGAAGAACCATCCCGAGTTCAGGCAGCCTGGAGCGGGAAGCACAGCATCTGAGCACCCACCTTCCAGATGAGACACATACTAACAAAAGAGGCCCGCCTCCCGAACCCCGAGATGGCAGCCTCAGAGGAAAGTCACTGGAAACAATTTATAACTACAGATAAGAAAAAAATAAATTGTTGCAATGCTGGTAAACCCGAAATTAAAAGTGGACACAATTCGGTCCTTGAAAGTCTCAGGAAGTCGAAGTCAGCTTTCTCTCAGCCTCAGCCTCGCAAATCTCCTCTATGTCACCCAACTTCCCACACATGTCCTAACCGAATCTACCACAGTTACATACACCCTCAGCAGCCCATACTTTGGCAAAAATGTGGGCCATCAAAATCACCAAGGGCTCCCTAAAAAGAAATTTTTGCCTGTAAGTAAATTTCTACCTATAAATTGTAATAATGGGGCTCTGGTGGCCTAGTGGCAAGAAGCTGCACTGTAATCCCAAAGGCATGTGGTTCGAGGCCATCAGCCATTCCACCGCCAAAAGATGGACAATCTTCTCCCCATGTGATTTAACAGCCTCTGAAAATCCGCCAGAGGGTTGGCTATGGGTCAGTTTCAACCCGACGATACACAATAACAACAAATCGTAGTAGGAGTTCTGCTGGCACAGTTTATATACTCAGGCTACCAACTCAAAGGCTGTTCAGATCCACCAAGGGCTCAGAGGGGAAAAGAGCAGCAGTCGCCTCCTGTGTCCTTTCCAGCCTCAGAAACCTGCTACAGTCTGTTCTGACTTGAGAGCAATGAGAGAGACAGGGAGAGGAGGAGGGGGTGAGTACGCATATACAGACTGTAACATAAAGAAGCTTCTTTTTTTTTCAACTAAGTTTAAGGAATGCTGGTGGTGGCTACCTTTGAGATAACTGTGACTCATAGCTCTGGTAGTTTAGTGGTAAGGAACGGCATTGCAAAGGCACTCGGTTCGAATCCACTAGCTGCTCCACAGGAGAAAAACGGCCAATCTCCTGTGTAACTTAAAGCCTTTGGAACACACCAGTGGGTCAGTTCTGACTATACAGCACTCGACAACAACAAATTGTTAGTTATCCTAATTCTACTTTATATTAAGGAGGCCTCGTAGTGCTGTGCTTAAAACGCTCTCAGCTGCCAACCAAAAGGCGTGCTGTTCAGCGGCACCAGCTGGCACGCAGGGGATGCAGCAGTGCCACCTGTAAGGATTACAGGCTCGGAAACTCTGGCTAGGTGCACTGTGCTTGACAAGGGAAGGTCACTACCAGTGGATGTCGGTGGGTTTTTTTCTTTTACTCGCAAATTGTACTTTCAATTTTGTAAATCCGTTTTCCACTTCCTCTGTCTGAAAAGCCTTTAACACAAGAGTCCTAGACTGAAGCTCCAGACAAAAGGCCTCAAATGCACTGGAGGAACAGAACCACCTCATTAAAAACAAAATAAAATAAAATAAAATAAAATCATGAGTCTCTAAGATCTGGCTAAATGATTCCAAAAACCGTCACTGGCATTGAGTCAGTTCAGACTCAGCTTGACTTTTCCTTTGAGTTTAGGAAGCTGTAAATCACAGAGGGGTCTTTCTTTCTCCCTCTGAGCCCATGGGATAGGAACCCCCAGAGGCCAATCCTCTACGCAAGGCTGCATCAGGGTTCTGCAGGAACACCTTATACCCTGAAATAAATGAATCGCAACCAATGTCCGGGAGGGAAAGGGGCGGGGGTTGTAAATGGCCACAGCTAACATCCCTAGAGCCTTCTCCAGTGTCAGGCTATACTTGATTTGAATGTCATTTAAGCACACACGTTAGGGGCAGGTCCTCTTATTACCTTACTATAAGGAAGGAAGACGAGGACTGTAGTGTAACTTACTCAAAGCTTGGCGTTGCCCAATCAAGATGCAAACCTCGCCTGTCAAGCACTTCTAACCTCTACGCTAAACCCAGGCGGACAAGAACATCAAGGTGGCGCGTGGCAGGTCTGTAATTTTAAGCCCAAACCGCAGGGAGAGAAGCAAGACCGATCGAGGTAGAAATGGGGCACCAGGGCAGTGCAGGTACACAGAGTCCCATTAAAGCAAGAGTCTGGCCGACGAATCGAAATGACAGGCATCAGCCACCCACAAAGTTCAAAAGGATCCGTCACCGCAGCCTGAACTCCCGGCCCGAGGCTCGGGTCCTTAAGGCCGAGTTCCTGAGTCAATGGTCCCGGCGATCACCCTGGGGTCCACTGAGCCTCCCCGGGTCGCCTCGCCTCCCTCGCTCGCCCTTGCCCGCAGATGCCGGACTCCCAGCGGCCTCACGCCCCCGGGCTGCGGCCTAGGCCGGGTCCCGCCCACTCCAGCCTCCTATCGCTCCGCTCCTCGTCCGGGAAACCGCACTGACCGTTGTACGACTTGCCCTCGTCGGCCATCGCACGGGGAGAAGCAAGGAGGCTCCGGCGCGGCCCGCAGCGGATCCCAACGTCTGATCGCCCAGGCCGAAGCGCGGCTACACTCGGCGCCGCCGTATTTATTCTCAGACCGTCGCGCGCCGTCGACGTTCCCGGCGGTGGGCGGGTCTCCGAGGAGCGGCGCACGTGCGCGTTCCCGGCGGTGGGCGAGGCCCAGAAGGGCTACACGCGCGCGCGGTCCCGGCGGTAGGCGGAGCTCCGAGGAGCAGCGCGAGTTCGCGTGCGCACTCCGCGAGGTGCAGCTGGGGCCGCGTCTCTCAGAGGCTCCCAGGCCGGTATCTTTACATCGTTAGGTGCTGCTTCTCGGCGCCTCCAAATAGCTCTCGGGGCCATAACTCCGAGCGCAGGAGGGCGGAAGGACCGCGCGAAGGGCGCGAGAAACAGAGGCGGGGTCAGAGCCGCGCTGATGAAGTCCCGGCTCAGCCTCTTAGCATCTAGGAGCCTTTATCCTCCCTTTTTTTACCCGAACGAACCACGACCTCGAATGAACGACACCTAGGACCATGGCCTAATTCGTGGCTTGTTTACTCCAGCCTTGATCCTGCCACTGCATCTGGGAACTCAGACAATACATGTGACTTGAATCTCCATTCTTTTTTTTTTTTAATTTTTATTTTATGTGCGTGTGTGTATGTGTACCGTCAAATCAGATCTGACTGGTACAGGAGGAGATTGTTCCTCCTCTGACTGGTACAGGAGGAGATTGTTCCTCCTTCTCCAGCAGAGCATCTGGTGGATTTGAACCGTGCACCTCTGGGATTGCAGTACACCTTCTTGCCGAATCTATCCATTCTTCCACTTGCAAAACTAGCACTCACCTTCACCAACGTCCCCACCCCACTACTTGTGTGCTATGCTAAGACCCACATGAGTTTAACAAAACAAGTGTAGCCAAGACCAATTGGAGAGAGGCCAAACCTATGGTCAATTCCAATTGTTTGGGCCATCGAGTCACTTGTGACCCACAGCGACCCTCTGAATCCTGCTCCATCCTGAGTTAACCTTATTGTCTCTAATAAACCTACCCCCACTACCCCAGTCACCAAGTCGATCAATCTCATCCAGGGTCTTCCTCCACCCCAGAGTCTCCAAGGCTGTATTACAGAAAAGCCAACTGGTTTGTTCTCTTGTGGAACAGCTGATAGGTCTGAATCTCCCTAAGGGTTAGTAGCTATGCACTAAACCACTGCTCCATCAGGGCTTCTTGAAGAGAGGACAAAACCAGAAAATCCTTAAAATGCCATAGCACAGAGGGGAAATGTCAATGAGGAGAAAAAAAAAACAATGTTCTGCACAAGAAAAGCCATCCAGTTCCTCTGATACAGGAGACTGACCAAATCTGAGCTGGCCTAGAGGGTAAGGAGTTGTGGTACCAACCCAGAAGCATGTGGTTTGAAACTGTGAACTGCCCGTCTCCTTTGGAAGGAGACTGTCTCTGAGAACTCGGTGCAGGGTCAGCTCTGACTTGGTTCTGGTCTCAATGCACTGTGAGCTGGTGTCTAAGGGAGCTCTGGTGGCCCAGTCTGTAGGGAGGTGCACTGAGAGCCTACAGGCAACAACTGTGGTAGTTTGGATCCCCCAGCTGCTTCACAGGAGGATGAACAACCTCTTCTAGTGTGATTTACACCCTTGGAAACACACTGGAGAGGCAGCTCTGATGGTGGGGAGAGAGAATAAGCTCACGAAAGTATCTCGACAGCTTTCATTTCCTTTAAGGTGTCTGAGTGGCGCCTGTGGTCTCAGAATGCTGTGCTATGGGAACTGGCTCTGAAGGACAAAGCAGCCTGGCTGGGGGTGGGTATGCAGCCGGGTGAATCAGCTGCTCTGTGACTGGCTGGGATCCAGTGAGGGGCTTGGAGGAAACCCAGAGTAACTTTCTTGGAGGAAGCTGTAGTAGGACACTTGTTTGTTCTTCACTTCACCTTCTGATAATGGCATCAGGCAGAGTCCTGCCTTATCCTGCTCAGAGAACTAGGGTCAACCGCTGAAGGACGGAGATGAAACCAGTCCACCAACGGCTTGAGATGGTTCTGGAGTTGACCAATCACCCGCTCTGATACCCTGTTTGTCCTTGTAAAGGAAGCTTCCATGCCTGTAAGGTGCTTCTCCAGTGAATTCTTTTCTGCTTGGAGACAGCTGTGCTAGCAGAACCCAGAGTCGTCATGGGCCAGGCCACCTGAGGGCCCTTTGGCGCCATCAGCCCATAGTACAGGGTAGCACAGGGTAAGTGGTTCTAATAGGCGGCAGCAGTCTACCCCACCTGCTGCCTAGGACCCTCTGCCGCTCCCACCCAGAAATGACGACACAGCTAGTGAGGCTGACAGTCTTGCTGTAATTGGGAAAAACTGGGCTGCAGCACATTTGGCAGATTGACAGTCACTAGCAGCCAGTGTTGGGGTTGTGCAGGCAACAGAGGCTCAGTCCCCCTGCCTCACAGTGAAAAGAGGAAGGAGAGAGGTCAAATTCTAACCCAGATGGGAAAGTTGGTCCATGGGACAGTTTCTCTTCCTCTCCTCGTTCTCAGGAAAGTGAGGAAGGGCATCATTTCCCCTGCTGCTCGTGCTTCCTGTGGGAGAGAGGCTGGGGAAGGTGTATAAAAACTCCTAGTGGAATCTGCCTCTCCCACTGGCTCCCAGCTGGCCTCTGCTCCCTTCCAGCCACTTCCCAGTGGAGTCCAAATCCAAAACTCTGTGTGTTTCGTGGGCTGAGGGGTGGTGAGGAAGGACAGGGCATTAAGAGGTAAGACAGAGGTTGAGGGGGTCAAGGGGCAGTGGCCATTCTCAGCAGTTCCAGGGAAACAGGGCCTTTCTCCCAAGCACCCTGTACAGGCTCAGTGGTGGCAGACGGATCCACCTGCCTTCCCAGGAGGGCTTCAGACCTCCATGGAGTGCCTCCGAGCGGAGAGGGTTCAGGCAAGGAAGACCACAAAGATGATGAAGAAGACAATGAGGATGAGGAAGATTTTGACCATGAGCCACCGGTTGGAAGTGACGGACTGGAAGTACTTGAGGATCTCTGAATGGGCGGCCTCAACATCCAGCTGGGCTCCTAGCACATTCTCGTCGATCCTACAGACAAACCAGAAGGAAAGAGGAGGACACTGGATTAAAAACAAGGCTATAAGCATACAGACATGAGCTTTTTTGTGGTTACCTGGGGTAGGAGAGAAAAAGGAGGCTAATGGTGGCAGAAAGGACTCATTGACTATTTTTTTCCCTTGTTGTGTACCATCGAATTGGATCCAACTGGCACAGAAGACTGCCCCTCTTTCTTCAGCAGAGCATCTGGTGGATTCGAACAATGAGCCTTCAGGACTCCAGCACAGTTTCTTGCCACTAGAGCTCTCTGACTGTTAAGGGTAGGGCCACACAGATGACTACTTTTATCACTGCACCAATGCAAAAGGTTCAACAGGAAAAAGTTAACAATAATAAAAAAGCACAGCCGCTGAGCCTGTTAAAGTATAACCAAATACTTAAAGAAGCTGGTTCCTTGGTTTGGACATTAATAATAATGGTGTCAGGCAAATCCCAGTTAAGTTAACTGGCCTACTTCCGGTTTAGTGTTTCTGCTCTACCACTAGTTCACCGCATGTAGCTGTTGTTGTGTACCGTAGAGTCAGAAGTGACCCATAGCTGGCCCTCTGGTGGGTTTTCAGAGGCAGTAATCGCTCGGGAGAGGACTGCCCATACTTCTCTCGCAGGTTCACTGCATAGTGCCTAGGATTTATAAGCTTGCAAGGGGTCAACCAAGGTACAATGGAGGAAGAAAGGAAATCAGGAATAGTAAAAGGATATGGAATGTGTGGCTTCCTGCCTCAGTGAACAACTGTCTCCTCTGCCCTGAGAGCAGAAGGAATGGATAGTGCCCTGCTACCATTATTAAGCATTCTGATTAAAGTTTACATAAGGGGGGAAAGGTAGAACAGAATTGCAAAACTTCAGACTTCAGTCTTTTTGGAGCCATGGAGGATGTATGAACCCCTGAGATAATCTTTAAACCTTAAGTCAAAAATTAATCCTAAATCTTCCTTTCTTTTAATTTTATTTTTATTATTTTGTGTGTGTGTACCATCAAATTGGATCTGACTGGTACGGGAGGAGATTGCCCCTCCTTCTCCAGAAGAGCATCTGGTGGATTCAAACCGCATACCTCTGGGATTGCAGTGCAGCTTCTTGCCACAAGGCCACCAGAGCTCCCTAAAGTTCTCTTTAAAGCAAACAATAATTTAACTTAACTAGTAAAGAAGGTCTGCTTTGATCACTGGGCTCTTTTAAGAACTATCTATATGGGATTATTTAATTGTGCTAACGTGAAACCTGTACTTGGATCAAGAGGCAGTAGTCAGAACAGAGCAGGGTAACACTGCATGGTTCAAAATTGGGAAGGGTGTATGCCAGGGATGCATCTTGTCTCCATACCTTTTCAACATGTATGCAGAGCAGATTATCCGAGAAGCTGGGCTCTATGAGGAGAATTGTGGCATCAGGATTGGTGGAAGATCTATTAACAATCTGCGTTATGCAGATGACACAACCCTGCTTGCTGAAACTGAGGAGGACCTCATGCACTTGCTGCGAAGGGTCAAGGACTGCAGCCTTCAGTATGGACTGAGGCTCAATGTCAAGAAGACAAAGATTCTCGCCACTGGACCAATTGACAGCGCCAGGAAGAGATTGAGAGTGTTCACAGCTTCAGTTTGCTCGGCTCCACAGTCAACGCTCTTGGCACCAGCAGTCAGGAAATCAAAAAGCGTATCGTGATGGGAAAGTCTGCTGTTAGGGACCTCTCAAAGGTACTCAGGAGCAACAGTGTCTCTCTGGAGACTAAGGTGCGCCTGATACAGGCCATGGTCTTTGCAATCGCTTGTTATGCCTCAGAGAGTTGGACAATGACTAGGGAGGACAGAAGGAGAGTGGATGCTTTTGAGCTGTGGTGCTGGAGAAGGGTACTGAATGTACCATGGACTGCCAGGAAAACAAACAGATTCATCTTGGAGAGGATTAAACCAAGCTACTCCTTGGAGGCAAGGATTCTGGGGCTTCGTCTGACATACTTTGGACATGTTGCCAGGAGGGACGGGTCCTTGGAGAGGGACATCATGCTTGGGAGGGTGGAGGGACGGCACAGGAGGGGAAGACCCTCTATGAGATGGATCGATTCAGTGACTGGGGCAATCGGGATGGGTGTGTCAGAGGCAGTGCGGTTGGCGCAGGATAGAGCAGGGTTTAGGGCTGTTGTGCATAGGGTCGCTATGAGTCGGAAATGACTTGACGGCAAATAACAACAACAACAAATATGGGATTAAATTGGTAATAACTTTAAGAGGTGCATTATGTGTTGTGCTGCTAACCAAAAAGTTAACAGTTCAAATTCATTAGCTGTTCAGTTAGGATCAGCCCTAGAAACCCAATGATCACAACAGTCAGATTTGCTTGAAGGCGGTGGGATCTGGTTTATTAAGGCACAGAAAGGTGAGCTCTATGCTAACTCCTGGCTCCGTACTAAAAACCAGCTCTGTCCCTTATTATTATGACCCTAAATCAGTCAGTCATGTAACCTTTCTTCCACATCTGCAAAATGAGCATAACAGTTCCTACTATTAATCTATAAAAGGACAACTCAAAAATTCAAACTTACTGCCGTCGAGTCAGTTTCATCTCACAGCAACCCTCTCTAGAGCTTCTGAGGCTGTAAATTGCAATGAGCAGGGAAAGGCCCATCTTTCTCCAGAGGAGTGGCTGGTAGGTTCAAACTGTAGGAGGCACCCAGCCTTTGAGTAAACAATGCAACTCGCTACACACTACACCACGAATGCTCTTCAAATGACAACTGCAGAGTGCCTAACCCTTAGTAAAGAAGGTCTGGTGGCATAACAAGCAAGCATCTGGTTTAACCAAAAGACTGGTGCTTCAAGTGCACTTGAGCCTCCACAGGAGAAAAACAGAGCAGGTAATGTCCTCCCAGTTCAGTGAAGAGAAGCCTATAGGATGGTTCTCTGTCATTTCAGATTGGTACAGGTCATGATCAGCCAGCTAATACATTCCAATTTTCAGCCACTCAGAGGACAGAGCAGAACTGTCCCACAGCGTGTTCAACGCAAATCTTTATAGAAACAAGAACCTCCTCTTTCTCCTGCTTCAAGTATTTGGCCTTGAGGTTACAGCCAAGCATCTTTTAATTTTTTTTCCCTGGGCGCCTCTCCAGCTGTGCCTCATGCACCCCAGCCCAGCTAACCCAGCCTTAGAGCCGATCATTATCCTGAAGTTACGGACCTGCCAACTTGCCTTACCTCCACTGTTCCAACATGCCAGAGGCTGTTCACCATGGAGACCTGCTGTGGATATGGGTAGGCCCATCGATTTATACCCTCTCCTCCATATTTTCAAGGGCCAGTGAGAGCTGCAGGAACAGCAACGCTTTCCAAAGCACAGGGCCCTCTCTCGGGGCGAACCTATTCCAGGGTTCCCTGCCCTTCACAAAGAAAAGAGAACTCTCCCCGGGGCTTCTCTGGGATAGGCTGCGTTACTGCACTGGAACCGCCAAACATTTTAACCACAATACCACCAAGCTCCTAAACCCAGAGTAAGAGTCTTCAAAATGTTAACTATTACAGTTTTTTTGCTTATCAATATTTGTTGTTGTTAAGTGCTGTCGAGTTCCTTGCGATTCATAGCGACCCTAGGTACAGCTGCTCTGAAGCCTGTCCTTTACGGAGCCAGACTCACTGACTCTGACACACCTACCGCTATTGTCCCAGTTACTGTGTCAATCCATCTCATTCAGGGCCTTCTACTGTGGCATCCCTCTACCCCTCCAAGCAAGATGTCCTCCAGGGATCAGTCCCTCCTGGTCACATGCCTAAAGTATGAGCTTCAAAATCCTAGCCTCCAAGGAGAAACTTGGTTTTATCCTCTCCATGAAAGACCTATTTGTTTTCTTGGCAGTCCATAGTATGTTTAAGACTCTTCTCCAGCACCACAACTCAAAGGTATCAATTCTTCTTCTGTCATCCTTAGTCATTGTCCAGATCTCTGATGCATAGCAAGTAATTGCAAAGACCATGGCTTGGATCAGGTGCACCTCAGTCTCTAGACTGACACTGTTGCTTCTCAGTACTCTGGAGAGGACCCTGAGAGCAGATTTAGCCAATGCAATTTGTCTTTTGATTTCGTGACTGCTGATGCCAAGAATGTTGATTGTGGAGCCATGCAAGCTTTAATTATTAACATTCTCAAACTCTTCTCCATCTATATTTACTTATTTTTATCTAATGAACTAATAATGCTGCATTTTTAACAGGGACAATGTTCACAGACCAGTGGAGTAAGGAAATCCTGGTTTGGTTCTGAGTGAGACAGGTAGAAAATGTTAGTGATATGGACAGGAACTTAGGACAAAAAAGCCACTCATGAAGAGAACACAAAGGATGTCATGCTTGGGAGGGTGGAGGGATAGTGCAAGAGAGGAAGACCCTCAATGAGATGGAGTGATTCAGTGACTGGGGTAATGAGGGTAGGTGTGTCAGAGACAATAAGGCTGGCACAGGATAGAGCAGGTTTCAGGACTGCTGTACACAGGGTCACTATGAGTCACAAGTGACTCACAGGCACATAAAAACAACAAAGTACGAATTAAAAGGGTTGGACTGAGGGACCAGGATTAACTGGGTCAGTGCTAGCAGCTTCAGCTATATGGTTTAGAAGTGATTTTACAAAGCAGGTTAATGCTGAAAAGAGAAACAAGGAAGCAAGAGAGAAAAAAAAATCTGTGGGCAACCAAACACGAAAGAAATAGAAAGTCTGAAAGAATGACAATTTAAAAATAGATATTCTCAGATTCTGAGAATTAGACATTCTATTCTCACAAAAAGAGAACCTCCTGAGTGTGTGCTGAAGAAAAGGAAAGCATTTTCCAGTCAACTGACACATGCAATATGGACAGACAGACAGACACCCGATCGTTGCTAAGAGGCTCTGGGAGCAGAGACTTTGTGAGCTGTGAGTATGGGCAATCCGGTGGAGCCTGGCACTTGCTACCTGGGAAGTGAGGCGAGAGGTGGCAGTCCCACAAAGGCCACTGTGAGGTCACCAGGAGCTA